AAAAAAAAATTATTACGGTGATGTTTAAGGTAGAAAAAAAATTATTGCGGTAGAAAAATAATTTCTTTTTAATGTTGGAAAAAAAATTTATGGATGACATGGTAGAAAAAAAATTTGAAGTGTTGGGAAAAAAAAATTGTCAACCATGGTAGAAAAAAAAAACAGGTGCACTTGGTAGAAAAAAAAAACAGTTGCACTTGGTAGAAAAAAAAAATCCTTCACGTGATTTGCCGGGCTGGCAGTGGTGAAGCTGACCTTAGAGCCGCTGGATGTAAACAACGAGGATATGACATCTGCCAGCAGCAGCTACAATTGTGAAGTAAGTAGCGACATTACACCGTATATTAATAATTCCTGTAATATTTCAAAGTTGGGGATAATGTAATTTAGCATGTTTATGGACTCAGGGTCGCAGGGAAATATCCGGATCAGACATTAGCATGGCTCTGTTACTAAGCTAGTTAGATGGTCTCTAGTGTTTTGAACGCTAGGTTCACCTCCCAAACACAGGGATTGAAACTCAGTTTAGTACGGAGCTCAGCTGTTCACCTGATATTTAGCTAATTTCGGGTCTTTTACGCAACATATCGAAGTATAGCGAGCACAAAGACCGTGTATGCATGCTGTGTTGATTAGCTCGACAGGCTGAATTTACCCGTGATGTGTTCAAGACAGTGAGTAAAGGTGTTGTCTACCTGTTCATAAAGTCAGTACAGTTGGTTAGGATCATGCCAGTCATTATGCTGTTTGATAAATTATAATGTTCAAAAAAACACAGTCACTGGCTTATACACTTAAAGTAACACATGCTGTCAATTTACATGGCAGGTTTTATTTTCCTCGAATGAGAACTAAATTAGAATGTTTAAATTAAATGATTAACACTTTACATACTGCTGTAGGAAATTTAAATTATTAAGTTTGAGCCGGAGCATTTTTTTTTCTCAGAAATATTTTTATTAACTTTTTGAACAAAGAAACAGATACCAAAATGTTAACGACAGGCATCTAACATTGACAAGAGGTCTATTCCGTTCAGGAAGAGTAAACCTGTCTGGGTACAGTGAAAAGAGAAAAGCAAACATTACCCGAAGAAAAGAATTGACACCCCCCTGGTTTTGGCCTGAAAAGAGGAATGGTACTGCCGCTGCCCCCACCGTGACATCAGACGGGTGTTATCAGAGGCACGAAGGTGAGTCTC